ATTGTTATGTCTTCTCTTTGTTTTTTGCTGTCCGGAAATCCCTGGAGATCTGTGATCTTCTCATTTCAAATTCATGGTAAGATCAGATTGTGTGACATTTTGTCCTTTGGAGTGTGGATGGGAACCACTTTTCCATTGTACTGTGCATTCCGATGTAACAATATGCCTAATTTTATGTGCGCAACTCACTGAAGGTTGCAGGCTATTAACTTCATTTCTGGTTCCATATGTGTGGCAGATTGGAGTTATTGTAGATTTTGCCGATTTTGTTTTGCATAAGCTTAAAATTTCACTCAAAAAATTTCAGGGGCAACCAGAATCTGGGTCGGGTAGTGAGTAATGCACATGGAAGCCTCAAAATGTAGGTAAGGATTTACATTTGGTTGGACTTGCTCGGGAATTGGCGTTGCACATTTACTGTCCCGATAGTTTGTCAGTTTGGTGGTTTGGTTCTATTGAGAACTTAAGAATGTGGAAGTCAGACCTATTTTTGGTTCATTCGTTAGGGTTTAGTTATATTCGAATGTAACTATCAATGGTTATTGTTGCAGTAAGGAATGAACTTGTACTTTACCCACTCGCCAGCTTAGATTATTATAGAAGCTTTTACTTTCAATAGTCTTTATCATGTCTGCTTCAACATTTGATGTGTCAAGAATGGACACTGGGAATGTTGGTATTGTTGTCATCTTTTTTCTGTTTCTTTTGGATTTAATGGTATCAAGAACAATTGTTTTGGTTAGTCCTTATTATGGAAAACTGGTGTATGCTCAGGATTGGGTTGTACTCGGGTGAAGGATAATTTTAAGGTGTGGTCCCATCCTGAGCCATTTTGATGGCTATTTCCGTTTCGGTTTCGGTTTCGGTTTTTTATAACTCATGATGTATCCAGGTGAAATGAACATTTTATAGCGATTCTGTTTGCTTAGTTGAGTTAATCACAATAGATTAAAAAAACTGACCTAATCTATGTCAAAAAAGATATTAAGTGCTATATCGAGTGTTAACATAATCCAGTTACACCCTGCGTGTGAGTGGATGAAGATTGTGTTTCATGGTGAATTTCCTTTTGGTACCTGGTCAATTTCCTGAATCTGGTTAGAGAAGAGATTAGGTTTTATGTTTAAGCAGAGAAAGAAGTTAGAGAGAAGTAGAAGAAGAGAAAAGGAGAGAAGAGACATTGAGAAAAGGTAGAGAATTCTTGCTGATTGTGTTCTGAAATTCAGGTAAATGCTCCTTGTTTTCGTTTTGTGTTTCCTTCCTCTTATATATCCTTTCCCTACTTAGATAACGACAAACAAGGAATAAGAGAAAAAGGTAAAAGGGAAGTATTATGCAGAAGAGCAAAAAGAGAAAAACCAAATCTGCCAGAGGCAGTACCCAGAACCTTTATGTAACTAATCCTAAGATTTGAATTAGTTAACAACAATATATTTATGACTGATACTGCTGGGTTGCTGATCCCGACTGTCAACATACATGTACCTGGTTGATTCTCCAGAAATATAATTTATTATTTTTTTGAACTTTTTATTTCTTGTTTGCATGGTATAAATAATTTAATTTTTATTTTTAATGTTTGTAAGTAATTTAGAAATTACGAGTAAGATTTTTTATGTACCCAAAAGAAAGAAAGTGAATTGTATCCCTGTGCATTGTAAAAGTGAAACTGGTCTTGATTAGTGGCATTGGAAATAGGGTGATCGTAAAACTAGCAGGGTTTTTCCATTGCTCGATAATGAGAATAGTAATAAATATAGACCTTCAGATTTTGACTCACCTCTGATTCTTCTGCCATCTGAAATCAATGTTATTGTATTTCCAAAGAATAAGTCCCCACAAGATGAAATGATGGATACCCTGAAACTCCATCAAAACAAAATTGGTTACTTACGATATTGATTCTCATGGAGTCACCGTAACTGAGCTCGTTTATGGCCAACTACATAACTGAGCTCGTTTTCTCCTGCAACTATGCCAACTCCCACCCGCCATTGATCGGCCTGGATATGGAGTTTGGTCGTTCTGATGTCACTGGCAAACTGAAGGCTGCGACGCTGACCCTATGTTGAGGATGTAGGTGCATCCTAATTCAACTTAGGAACATGGATTCAATTCCTGATTCCTTGATTAGTCTTTTTTCTGCTCCAATATTTCACTTTGTTGGTGTTGGGATATGACAGAGCCTGGAAATACTTGGAAATGATTATGGGATTGTTTGTAGGAATGTGGTTGAGCTTCAACCACTTATCGAATTGTATGTTTCGATGGGTGCTGTTGAGATTGAGGTGGAACGCAGGCCATTGAGTGTTATAATGGGAAACTGGGAATTTGAGTATGGAGCAAATTGAGATTGCCGCTGGTGCTGCTCACAGCTTTTCCGAGTTGGCGAAACGTTTCTTTAGTTGATATGCATATATATGATATATATATATATATACACAGACACACACACGTGTGGGCGCGAGGATGCATGTGCATATTGGCTAGTAACAAAAAATATATACTTGTGTCTGTGTATGTATCTATGCATGCATGCATTTATGTGGGTTGAAAGTCATTTTGGAACTTGGAGGTGGTGGGTGGTTGTGTCTGGTGTGATAATGGATATATATATATATATATATATATAGATGTTACGTCTTGCTATTTGGACTGATATAGTGAAGTTCAGAAGTTTATGCTTTAATCTGTCATTCTTTTCATTATTTTTGTTTCAGTAAATGGGCTGCGTGTATATATAATTTTTGGATGAGTTTTTTATATATAATTATCAAAAAGGGGAGTAATTTTCTCGTCCTTGATACGGGCCATATGGTATACGTACATGTATATATATCTATACTCTTCTCAGTTCATTTTCAATTTGAATACTTGCAAATCAGACTATTCTTAGCAAATTTAGTACATCAGCGCCCCAATATATATATATATATATATATATATATACACTTCTTACAACTTATGAAGGAATTTTTGTGAAAGCTAGCTGGATGCCGGCTGACTCAAACCCTTATCCACATAAAACCATTAGGCTAAGCCTTCTTATTATTCATCGTCTTCTTCTTAGAGATGTTAAGTATGTACACGCATACATATATATTCTAATTATACTGACGTATATATATATATATATATATATAGAGAGAGAGAGAGAGAGAGAGAGAGAGAGTGGGAGGCACATGCAATATGCAGACCAGTCGTGGGTTGAGTCTGGTTGTCTTAGTTAATTTGTCAGATTCGGACTTCACCCGGCCCCATTCTGTATTTGCAGATGCAGACTTTACCCTACTTGTTTTTCTTTGGATTTCGTATCATGTGATTCTGCTTTTGTCGTTTCGATTTGATAACACCATTTTATGTATTACTTTTAATTTAGATTCATGATATATATTACTTTATTTTCAATATTTAAACTAAATTATTTTATTTTAATATTCATAGTGAAAATTTTTTTTCTTTATTCTTTCTGTTCTTTCTTTTTTTATATAAAAAAAAAATTAGCAAACCAAAATAATACTATTACGAACTTGATGCATGATTTAGATACGAAATAACTAATAATCAACAAAGGAAAAGTTCAATTATATTTCGATCTCAATAATTTTTTTATGTCATTCATTCATTCGTTGAATAAAGATTTATATATAGGTTATCAAAATATGTTATAACCGCATAAATGACAGAATGATAATTCCTATCTTTCTCTCATTTTTTTTCGCTATTTTTTTCTTTCATTCGTCTAATCTTAATCCTAATTTCTTGTAACTACTCTTTATCTTTTTTACCTTGCATATTACTTATTTATTTTCTACTTTACCTATAAAATTAGTCTTTATAAAAATAAGAAATAAAATACTATTTTAAAAAATAAAGAAGTCCATAGTTTTTCGTAAATAAAAATAATGATTAATTCTATTAAACTCATAGTATTTATTTTTTCAAAAAAATTAATTTATTATTTTACCAAAGCCGGACCCTCATGATTCATGACAATTGCTTACAACAACTTTATACAATATATTTTTATTGGCATTTCTTAAGCTTTGTTCATGGACCACAACATATAAATGGAACCTTAAGCCCTTGGTGCCATTTTGCTTGATAAGATATTTTCAAATACATTATCACTTTGCTCATCAAAATAATACATTCCCATTTTAATTACGAACTTATAATTAAAAAAAATGTTAAATATTTTCAATTTTTAAAGATAAAATAATATTTTATTTGATTTTGATAAAATTTTACTTATATTGTTAGTATCGTATATAAAAATTTGTTCGTGGGCACCCATAAATTTTTTATCCGAGGAGGGATATTAATTAAAATAAATATTAGAGTTGATAATTTTTTAATTTGAATTTAGTTTTTTTTTTAATTTCTAATTTTAATTTTCATATTAAATTTTAATATAACTAATAAAAATATAATTTTACGCTAAAAATTTAATTAGACTCTAGCATTAAAATTTAGAGACGTACTAAATGTTAAAAATTTAAATAAAAATAGAACTATAAATTAATTAAAGTTTAAATGAGAATTAAACTATGAATAACTTTTGGTTATACATATAAATTTTACCAAAATATTTGAAGAAATATTATCAATAAAAATTAAATATATCATAACAAAAAAAGGTAGTCTAATAATCACACTCATAAAGAAAAAGGTACAAATAATTTCATATAAATAATACATAATATATTTTTTTTAAAAATTTATTATTTGAATATTGTCATGTCCTGACCCGTCGGGCCCACACCCGCAAATGTTGTTTTCGGTTCTCCACCAATTTATTTATTTTTTATAATTTTTTAAAATTCCAACTATATCGAATATTCCTAGTATTATAAAAATTAAATAATTTAGACTTTTGACAAGTCATCGAAGCTACAGGCAACTACCGGTCGGAATGCTTAGTTTTGGATATGAAATATTCGGATCCCTGTCAAGTCACCGAAATTACCGGTAACTACCGGTTACCGTCCATGAACAAGCGGACACGTTTAATCTTTCAGCAACCTATTCGGCAACAGAAGAACATTACAAAAATGCCTGGTGCTGTAATTAAAAATTCAAAAAGTTTCCGTTTTTTGAAAATTAAAATCAACCAACTTTTGGATTTGAGCTCTAAATTGGGTATAGCTTTTATATCCGATGCCAGCTTGAAATCCCTCTGTTCATCGTCCTCCTTGTCGACAACGATTCGAAGGCTTCTCTGTCTCCTAACAGGTACGTTCAATGAACTTATTTCTTCTGTTTTTGCTGTTAAATGTTATTCTTCTGTGATTTGTCGTTATGGGTTTTGTTTCTTAAAATCATTGATGGCGACATTGTTGCATTTTGATTTTGATTTTGATTTTGATTTTCTGGTCTCTTTTTTTCTTTAAGGGTGGGTTTTTGTTTGCTTTCTCTTTTTTCTTTTTTCAACTATTCAACTTTATTATCATTATTGTGGCTACTAATATTGGTATTAGTATTAGTATCATTATTGTTTCGCTTTCTGTTTTTGCCTTTATTGTTTCTGATGCTGCATTGATTAGCTGTTTCGTTGACAGAAAATAGAGGCAAAGAAGAATATCTTTCTTTCTTTTTTCTTTTAATTTTTTGGTTATAGTTGTCATTTACCTAGAAAACCCATGTTGGATTTGTTATAATATAGTTTTTTGTTCCTTAAGACACTGTAATAAAGAATTTTCTAACATTTTCTCATTATGTTTCTTTGCATATTTCTGGAGATTTTATAGAACATTGAAGCCTGATATTGATTGCCCGAGGTTCTTCTGGTTAGAAGTTTCAAACTTCAGGGTTTATGTTTAGTTGCAGGAAATATCATATAAAAGAACTCAGTCAATGGAACTTGTGCCCTGCATTTGTTTGAAGATTAGGATGGTTTAATGAAAGGGAACTCCTCCAATTCTACGTCAGTTTATAGTTTGAGGTTTTTCATTTTTCGAGCCTTAGTTCTGTTGTGCTACCCTTTGGCGGTGAGCAATGTACTTGTTTTAGTTTTGTTCGTACGTACAATCTTTGTGCAAGCAAATGATTCAAACTTGCAAAGTGGAGAGGCAAATCCTGTGACTATGAAGGATTAGACTTTGGTTTTGTAGGCATAACAAAAGAAGAATTTGTTTAAACCAAGTGAAGAAAGAAGTTGCTTATCAGAGTTTATTTTAGATGGATCATTTGGTTTCAAGAGAGAGTGAGCTTGAAGTTGATCTCGAAAGTGGGGAAACTGCCAGTGAGGATGAAATAACGAATGATCTGATACCAGCAGGAAGCCAATCAAGGAAGATTTTGAACAGGGCTTTGGGTGGACATATGAATGTTGATGGTTTTGGCAAGAGGGATTCCAGCATTAGTTATTGTAGCAATGCGTCAAAACTTAGTGTGGTTGAGCATGAGAATTTGGAGTTGTTGATAGAAAAAAATTCGGAAGGAGAAGACAGTTGCCAACACGTAGTGTTGTTAGGGAAGAAGACTGCTGAAGGGAGGAATAAGAAAAACAGAAAGCCTCCCAGGCCACCAAGACCTCCGAAAGGTCCAACTCTGAGTGCTGCTGACCAGAAGTTGGTGAGGGAGATTGCTGAGCTTGCCATGAGAAAACAAGCCCGGATTGAACGAATAAAAGCATTGAAGAAGATGAAGACTGCTAAAAGTTCATCTTCAAGCAGCACTATATCAGCCATGGTAGTCACAGTTCTCTTCTGCCTCATCATACTATTTCAAGGTATGATGGAATTTTTATATAAGATTTACGCTTAGATTGAGTTTAGTATATATTAAATCTAGCTGGAGCTTCTTAAGCAAGATTCCTGTATTAACTGAGAAAGACGGTAAATCTGTCGTATGTAGTCAATCCCTTTTGAGCTGTATCTTTCTACACAACTGGAGCTTAATACATTGATTCAGAACCTGTTAGCACCATACCTACATTTCTAACTTCATTCTTTTTAAGCTTATAAGTGCATGAGCCTGTAAGTTTCTCTCTTGAAGGGCTTCATTTACATTTTTAAGCTCTCAAACTGCATATTCTGTTGATATATTTTCTTATTTTACCTAAATTTTCTGTTTGATTGCCGTAAAGTGGTGCAGAATTCTGCATATCAACCTGGCTGAGAAATGGTTGTTGAAGCCTAGAAGATGTCCTTTCTATTCACGCAGGTTTTAGTAGTTAAACAGATTTTATATACTCCCGAGCTCTTTTTGGATTTTCGAGAACTAAAATCTTCATCTAGCTGGTTTTGGTTCATTGAAAAGAATATCCTTGTTTCCACTGGAATGCTAACTGCTTGCAGATATAATTTCTTCAACCAATTTTCAGAGATACAATATTGGCTTTTGCTTGTGCTAATTTTTTTTTTTTGCAAATTAGACGTCTTTCTATCAAAATAAAAAATAAATAGTAAATTGGGTCATATCTTATTAGTTTAAGCTTTTGCCAAAACTAGTTACGACTTGTTATCCAATGTGATAATCAGGCGTGAGTTCCTACTTTTAAGCCTCCCTTGTACGTACTTTTCCTGCCTATCTCTTTAATTAGGTTTTGTCTAATACATGCACAGTATCGTTTACGTTCTGTCTTGGGTTTTCTTTGGTATATGCTCAATTCTGCTTGCGAAGAAAAGAGGGTGTTAATATGTGATGTAAATGATAAATTCATTCCCTTCTGAGTAATTTTTATCGATATTTATTGTATTTCGTACAACTTATCTAGTAATATTATGTTGGGAAGTTTCTAACCTGAGTGCAAATTATGCTTGCAGGAATGCTCTCAAGAAGCAGTGCTTCTGCTGTCTTAGCAGGATCTCCGGCACCTGCTGTTGCCTCTGGTGAAGGTTTGATTTCTGTTAAGTTGTACAAAAGCTTCTCTCCGACTGAAAGAGATCAATCTGGTCTGCGTCCACTTAGGTGCATATCTTTCTCTTTTGATAAATTCTTATGTTTGTTTCCATATTATCTTTTTGTCTTGTGATTATCAGAATGCAACACTAGAGCTTCTGTGCTTCACAAACTGAGAAACTATAGAATGCCAGAGAATAAGAAAATATAGAATGGAGTAGGAAATGAGATATCAAGAAGGACTAATCCGGTTTGGCAGCTAGGCTTACATCCATGTTATACAAAGTCAATAAACGAGATAGTCATACACTTCGGGTGCTTGATATAAATGATTGAAATATTGAAATTACTGGTGAGAATTATTAGAGGATCATAATTCCTCAAATTACCAAGAATCCTTAACGACCATCTTGGAAAATGATTTCATCACAAGATTTTGGTTGATGGCTCAACTAGAAATCTCTCATATTCCAAACCACTCCCTCTTCTCATTTTCCTTGTTTGCTCCTTGTAAATACAGTTTTGCAGATAAGCAGATTCCCGGGTCAGATTCTAACGAAGATGCAAGTAAAGTTGCCAGATAAATGACAACAATCCGAAATCTAGTCCTAGAAATTTCAGCATGCCTTCAAACTGAACTTTTTTTTTACCTTTTTAACTGCCTTTTAAGTCAAATTTCTTGTACATATGCTTCGACCATCTAGCTTGAGGACATGTTTACAGAGGTTAGCTTGTACATTGATTAAATTTATGCGCATAAATTGATAACTTATATATATATATATGTAAAAGAACTTTCAATGCTTAGCTGCTGCATTGCAAGCATGTTACCGAGAACCTAGTGCTGCCAAGACGGAAAAGGCAGACTATGAATCTGCATACGTATGTCCTGGCAATTCAGTCGGAGCTAATGAAGTAACAAAAGCAGCTGATCATAAAATATTTAATTGTTACTAATCATGTTGTATTATAACTAATTGTAATTTATTATCTAATGTTAAATCAGAGTCTTAATCTCATTTTGTATATATCTCTTATAATTAACATTAGATGTTAATCTACCATAATTTGACTTACAAATGAGAAGTGGAAAGCTAAATGGAAATTAAATATTAATCAACCTCAACTTTTCAATTAACATACACTGATCTCGATCTCAGGATTAAACTAATTACACAAGCTAATTTAATCAAGTTTGTATTATTATTTCCTTCAAAAGTTTGTATTAATATTGATTGATTGATAGATAAATCTCACATTAAATATAATATAAATAAGATATGGTCCATGTAATTTAGATGATTATTTGAAGACAAGACAAATATATATATATATATATATATATATGTATATGTTATACTTGGAGACCTTATATGTAGAAAGAAAAGTTACAATGTTCACAATGTATGTAGAGGTAGGGTTAAAATGAGCATGTAAATGTGTATATAGTGTGTAGGTATACATCATTTCGTATACACACACACACTAATTAGCAAATTAAACCACTTAGAAATTTAATAAGACAATTTGAGAAAAAGTCATATATGCAAATTAATTTACACCTACCATAAAGATTATATAAGTCTATACTCTTAACCTAATTACACTTCTCACATGTTTTTAGTCCTGTAGATTTTTGTATTCATTGAATCATACCAAAATTACTCCCACAAATTGCCTACATTAAATTTCTTCCATACATTTCTTTATATAGAATATATATATATATATGTATGATCAATGTGGAGAAGTACATCGTACCTTGAGTAATTCACATTTAGATAAGGCGGAATTGAGTTCTCCAATGCTACCAATTATTGTTTGAATATGCATGCATGGATTAATATGAGACGTTCCAAATTTTAACCATATCAATCAATATATATATATATATATATATATGCCCATTCAGCCAAATTATGGGGATCGACATACATCCAATTTCTTCGATAATGGATGACTCGCCAACTTTCCCAATTACCCTTTCTTTATATATATATATATATATATGTATATTATGTATATTTAAGGCAGCATGGGTTATAATTTTGGTCGGTCCATATAACATTTCCTTTTCCTCTAATTTCTTCTCCGTCTATCTCTCAAGACGTCCACCCACATGCACTTATATAATATACGTCCCCAATTTTCGTATATAAGGAGACCGTACTCGGCTTGCACGCCCACATACATCATATAAATATTTTAATCCAAATATCTTCTAATTAATTTAATATTTAAAATATGATTAATGAAAAAATTATAACTTAAATAAAATTATGTATTTATTTTGTGTGTAATTTCCTACGTAAGCACAATTTTTTATCTTAAATTTTTAATTTACCCATATATATATATATATATATATATTTTTTTTTTTAGTGTTGGGAAAGGGAAAGGAAATCGACTAGTCATAGGCATATTGATGTACGTATAATTAATTTTAAGTAATTAAAAAAAAAAAACAAGATAAGTATTTATATATATATATATATATAGCTTTCGGTACTGCCTGCTGTTACTGTTTATTAATCAATGCTGGATAAGCTTGTAGTCCGTGCTTTAATATATATATAAAGCTATGTACTCCCATATAGCTTTATATATATTTACATGTGTAGGAGAATCAACTTTTTCTTTTTTTTGTTTTATTATACAGACATATTTCGTATACTATAGATATATGTATGTATGTATATATATATATGTTACGTATTATTCTTGTAAGGCTTTTTACAGAATACTAATTGATTATTTTCTGTTTAAAAAATAATTTATTAGTATTTTCATGAAGGTTTGGGTCCGTAAAATATTATGTACTAATTGTATGTATTAATATTGATATTGATATTTATATATATATGTAACAATTAATTAATAAAATTATATTAATTTAAAAATATTTAATTATAAATGCAATTATTATTATTATTATTAATACGAGGATAGATGATAGTGATGATCGATACAAACTGGATGTAAACAGAATTAATGTATGTATATATATATATATATATATATTGATCATGTTAGTTTAAAAATATGTAATCTATATATACGTACTATAATAATTTCTAGCTGTTTGGATTGCGTTTATAAATTTTATGAAGTAATTATATTATGTCCCCAAATGAGTCGCAACACCACTTTAAGGAGTATTATACATTATCTAAGAGTATTAGCAAGTCCAATAAATTATCAAAATGTGTAGTAGTTAGCCGCAACTTGCAAATATATACAAAACGAAACCTATATATACGTACTTAATGTGTTCACAAATTAATATATATGTATAAAAAAAATGAGAATATATATTAATGTACATGACATTAACATAGAGGTCAACAAGACCGACAATGTCTCCTGAATAAAACCATTATCATTTGTTTAAAAATGCATAAATTTAAATTTTACTAAGAATATAATATTTTACTAACATATTGATCAATAGATCTGTAATGAATTTTATACGTATTATAAATTAATAATAATTAATTTATAATATTTGATTCAGTAGAAATAAAAATTGTTGATGCGTCTTAAATTTTAGTGATATTTATCTATATTTTGTGGATAATTTATTTGAGTTTTTTTTTTTATATTTATCGTAGGAAATGTTTGATGTATATCCTAAAAAGTTATAATTTGTGAAAAACTCTACTAGTCTCTCTATAAATATGTTTGCTATGTAACACCCCGGCTCAGAAAACGGAACCCAGCCCAAAACTAGGCATTAAGAAAAGCTATGGATAGAACAACATCGTTTTGGGAAACCCCAAAAATAACATCGTTTTGATTAAAAAAGAAAAAAAAAAGATGGCAACCAAAGGCGTGCATGCCTCTAAAAGCCGAAGAAAGAGAAAAAGAACACACCTGTATGCTGGAGAAGAAGGAAGAAGAGGTGTGCAGGGGTCCCCTTCTCTGCCCACAAAAAAGGAGAGACTTGTTCTATGGGAGGGAGATCTCGTGCGTGAGGAGAGAGAGATCTATGCATAGAGAGGGAAAAAGAGTTGTGCGAAGAGAGAGAAAGAGCCCTGTGAGAGAGAGTCACGGCCGACACGACCTGTGACGATGCGCGACTTTCCTCGCTACAAGCTGAAGAGTCTAGACGGCTGATGATCTACACAATGGGAAACCAGAAGGAGAATCGTGCGACGACGTGCATCCAAAGAATAAGGAGATCTGTTGCAGTTGATCGCATGATTCTGCCTATCCTGGCTTCTTCCTGTGCGATTTTATCATATACGCGCTGGATCTGAGTGCGCAAAGCATTTCATGGTGAATTCCAGTTGATTCGCAGTAGTTTGCAGCTATGTGTGCTGGCTGAGCGGTGGTCCGACGGCGGTGTCCTGACAATAGCGCTCCGACAGCGACACGTAGCAAATCAAGGACACGCATATGGTGGTGTGTGGCAATTCCGGTGACCGATATCGCGTTACGGTAAAACTTAATCTTTTTTATATTTTTTAATTATTTTTACAAGTATCTGTCATTAACCCACATATTTTTTATTTATACACGAGAGAATTATCTAAACAATACCGAATTTAGATGAGAGCATAGACCTGAGCCAATAAGGATTCTGACACTTTTCGATTTGACTATAGGTAAGGAATTGGGTTAGTTTCATTTAGAAGCTCTCATGTTTCTATGAAACTTTATTTTCTGTTAAAATGAATTGTTATAAACTTTATAAACTGTTTAAGTTTTCTACCACGAGTTCTGTAAACTCATCATATGTGCATGTCTACAATTGCATATGATTGGAGACTTACATGATGTTGTGTATGATGTATATTTATGTATTCATATTGTTACATGTATGTATATATAGATTTTATGCATGCTAGTTATCAAGTTATACGTGTGTGTGACGTATATATATATATATATTATATAATTGTAGGTTGTGTAACATGTATATATATGAACGAACAACTTGTATGCGTCTGCTTATAAAATACATATATGCCTTCTGTAAATATATAAGTATATTCATGTTGTATGTGCTGCATGTTTATATATACTTATTTGAGTCGATAATTGTACGTATAAAATGTATATATTGTGCTTATTGTGTACGCATGTTGATATATAATATATATGATATATAAGTAGATCTATGTCTGAATAGGTCATCTAATGATGAACTAGTTAGTAAAAGAATAGCATAAGAATATTTAAAAAATGAGAAAATTTGTTTAACCGGTATCACCGACGGTGGGTGTGTGTGTACCCTTTTGACGTGTGATTATGGTGAACCCTACCCGTGGATACAACTTTAGTCAGACTTAGCGAAGCGATAAGAACTGTAAACTATATACTATGTACTGCAAACTGTGAACTGTAAACTGAATTGAGACGTATTCACATGGTATAGAGGATTCTTACTGCTCTCGTTGATACCGACAGAGACAATATCGTGCGATGAAACTCTTAAAAGATTAAAAAAAAAATTATAAACCTTAATAAAAATGTAATTGAGAATGAAAGTATAACTGAAAAGTGATAAGTGAACAATGTAAGGTAAAAGCCATATTGACATATACAATGATAAGTAATTCAATAACAAGTGCAAGTGATTGTCATAAAGTGCAAGTGCAAGTGCAAATGCTACGAACTAGTGAACAGTATTATTTATTTATTTAGATGTGCTGTTAAAGTATTTGTGATATCTATGAAACCATTTGTGAAAGATTGAATTATTGAGCTATGTGAAATTATGGTTACTATATTACTTGAGGATTGGCTTTAAAAAAATACACATATGTTTTGTAAATCTTGTTTGATTGAGTGTGTATATGTCTTTGTTTTGGGCACTGTCCATCTTCCTTGCTGAGTCCGTGAAGCTTACTCCAATTCACACCCCCAATGTAGATTAGTCTAAATCAATGGCAAGTTTAAGGTTGAAAAAAGTCTTTGAAGAACTTTCAGTGACAGTGAGAGTTTTATCTTATAAAGTCGGTTTAATTATATTATAGCGATG